TACTTAAAAGATATTAAACTACTTAATACTTAAATCAACTTCGATAGTGGTCCAACGCACTTTCGCTGCCTATGTTTATATTCATAATCAAAATATTAGGAGAAACTACACAAATGATCATTAGTGTTTAAGTAACTTTTTATTTTTCCTACTGAAAATTCAAAAGTAACAAATTGATCACTAACATTTTCGATCTATAACAAATCGGTCACTTGCCTTTAATAGCTGTGGACGTGTATTTTTGTATCAAAAAAAAGATAACCTGAAAGTTTAGATTACTTTGTGTATATTGGTACCATAGTGTTTGGCAATTTATAGTTGTAAGCGACCCAATTCTGACCGATGGGGTCTTTATTTACAATCTGGTTGTGTAGATAAACCTTGCTGGATTGTTACTAGCGAACGTAGTCTTTGACATACAGATTTATTCCGGGGGCATTTGAAACTTCAGATGAAGATTCCTGGATCCATGTTATGTGTTTTTGTTTCTTCCTTGCAATAAATCCAGTTGGAAACCTTAGATAACAATGCGAATGCTACTAGAGATTGCAGAACATAAATCTATCATTCCATTTTGAGGTTGAACAGCCGATCAATGGTGTGTTATTATCAACTTCTTTGGTTTCAATTCTGGTGTGTCATGTGTGGCGAATTAAGGCTGGAACGAACAACTGTTGAGGACATGGATATCGCCGCTCGTGCTCACCTTTCTGGATGGAAGTTTTTATATCTGAAGATGTTAAGGTTTGTGATTGTCGTTTATAATACACAAAATTCCTTCCTCACTTGAGAGAGTAAGGAAAGTGACCTAATCTTTTTGTCTGCAGTGCCTTTGTGAGCTTCTCGAATCCTATGAAGCATAGTAGAAACAACAACATCATTGACGTTTTGGTCCAATGCAGTTGTCCCGCTTCTACTTCTTTGACATACTTCCTTCTAAGATACAATGATTTCTTGAAACTATCATGTCACACATTTTTTCTCCATAAAAACTAAACCATACATGCATAAATTAACTATATTTTCTGTAAAGTATTGCACTCCATACAAATTTTATTAATTTCCTTATTCCCGTAGAGAATCCGTTCCCAAAAAAAAATAGCCAAAGTAACAACTGTTAACGGAGAACGACCAATTTGTTATAAATCGACAATTTTAGTAACCAATTTATTTCTTTTGAAACTTCAGTGAGGAAAACTAAAATTTTCTCAAATATTAGTGACCATTTTTATAGTTTACCTAAATCCTAGCCACAAATACGTTAAAGTTTGCAGTCACGGGTAAGGGGTAATAAAGCATTGGGCTGGATGGTGACAGCAGAAAGCCGAAAACGTGAAGGTCTTGAGGAAAAAAGCTTTTCCTTTCATCGCCCATTATTATTTACATTATCACTTTCCCACCTAAACATATCATTGAGATGGATGCCCATTGAAAACGAGTGTGCTGTGCATATTATGTGATTTGGATTTTTTTTTCACTTTAGATCCGTTCTTAAACTTTATACCAGTATTTAAAACTATAATTAGTTTATAAATTTTAAAATATTTCATATCAGTCCTCAAACTATCAATATCATTCTCGATTCGTTTATTAATATGTCATTAATTGAAAAACTTAATCTATTTGCAAAGGTGTTGGAAACTGAACGACTTTTTAAAAGAATTCTCAATATCTTCAAAAATAGATTATTTTTTAAGTCACAAATTTAATTCTCAAGACCTTCAAAATTAACTTAATTTTTTAATCAATAGAATTAATGATATGTTAATGAAATGATCAAAATTGAATCACACTGACGGTTTATACAATAATGATTCAAAATATTTTAAAATTTATGAACTAATTTAAGATGAAAAATAGTTTGATAATTAATATATATAAACTAATTTAAAACGAAAGTCGTAGTTTAAATACATTTTATATAATTATCTCTATCTCTAATATGTGAAATGTTGTAATCACACCCCATTATTACATTTTCTAAATTATTAAACTGATAAATCAAAATATATGATTTGCCCAGTTTTAAAAATAATTTCTTCAAACAATTTAAAAGAGAAAAGAGGAAGAAGGTGACGGATAAAGAAAGGTGGTGTCTAGGGATAGATTGAGGAGGTGGAAGGAGACAAGGGTATTTATGAAATTTTAAAATTATTTTATATTTTAAATTTTTTTATGTATATATTTTTATTGAAAATATGTTATCATTTTTTTAAAATTTTACAAATTTATATTTGTCTCTCGTAAAATTTTATAAATTTTTTTTGTTCAACATGCATTCATTCATGGTATTGTCTTCTTTGCCTCGTGATAAGAGTGAGATGTACATTGAATCTTGTGTAAGTGCAACTACTACCACTACTCATGAATTTTGGCTTACTCTTGCATAACACTTGTTATTATATACAATAAAATGATGAACTGATCATGGGATATAAAATCAAAGAACTAAACAACATCGAATATACTTTTTTATATTATCATGTCCAAGCAGAACTGCTCTGAATTCTGATGAAGCACAAACATCGATGAAGGGTTGACCATTTTCTTTCCCAGGAATCAAACATATGAAGCTGCACTAATTAATGTGGCTTATATATATATGACAACTTTAGGTCAATAAATATATATATAGTAATATAATATTTTATATTGGAAAAGTAAATTTTAAGTTTTTTTTGACATAGTAAATGTATGGATATGAGGTCGAATATGGCTGGCGACAGCGTTGAGCGGTCTCTAGTGTCCTCTGTCACAATCACAAACAGTCTTCACCGACGTCCATCAAATACTTTGTAAATAAAGATTTGACATTTGTGGCTGATGAGTAAAAGACAAGAAAGCAGAGTCAAGGCTATGTAATAAACGATCTGGGTTTCAATGTGTGGGATTGAAACCATTTTGTAGATCTAAATCTGGAGGAATTATAGTGCCTGCCTGGTTCAGGCAGGACAAAAACAAAACAAATCTGAACCCACTCCCGTTCATGTATATCTAACATGTTTCTATTCGTTGGCTTTGTTGTCCACTTGTATTTTTCTATATGGGAAGAACAACCCATCAAAAGATGGTACCTTTGTGCCAATTATCTGAGCAGTGAGAACTATAAGTTCTTCGTAGGACGAACGTCGTCAAATCAGAATGTGCTAGGAACTTGGGATTTTGATTGAGAATGAAAATTATTATTTTGTGATGATTATTATTGAAATTTTTCAATATAAAATTTTATTTATCCAATATATATATATATATATTGAATTTTTTTAATTTTTTAATTTTTAAATATATTTTGGATATATATATATTGAATTTTTAAATTTTTTATATTAAAAACATTATATTATCATCAATCATTTTAAATTATGTACACTCAATATTTTAAATTATAGTATTCGTCTTGGGTTGGATTTGACTTTAGAGCTAAATATAAATTTGGGTTGACTTGTATTATTTAGTGGGCCTAAAGGTCTGGTACTGGAATTAGAGGTAAAATAAAATTCGACTCGATTCGAAAAATTATTTTTTTTAAATTTTGAGTTATTCGAGTTAACTAAAAATTTTAATTGCATTTTTGAGTTCGAGATGAATTAATTTTGAAATTTCGAGTTACTCAAAAAACTAAAAATTTGATTACGTAATTTGACAATTTTTCGATTTAGTTTTTGCTTTCATTATTCTTTCAATTTCTCCTTCATTTTAAGTAAGCATATTTTTAACCAGATTTAAACAACATGCTCTTAAATCATAGTAGAATTCATATGTAATTTCGATTCCTCTTTTCAATAAGAAGTTTTCTATTTTTCAATTTAGTCCCTCAATTTTTCATAATTTCCTTATTTCTTCAATTCATCCTTTATTTAAAACCGTTTTATACTAAATTTAAACCACATGCTCATATACCACTATAGAATACTTATGTAACTTCAATTTTATTTGTTTTTACTAAAAATGTACTCTCTTTTTTATTTATACCCTTAACATTGCCATATACCACTATAGAATACTTATATAACTTCAATTTTATTTTTTTTACTAAAAATGTACTCTCTTTTTTATTTATACCCTTAACATTGCATTTTACTCAATTTGGTCTTTTGACTGCAATTATTTTGCAAATTCTTTCTTCCCATCAATTCCTTGATTTTTTTATACTTTCGTAAATATTTTACACTCAAAATAAAAAAAATATAATATTGTGAATATATTTTTTTGGATAATTAAAATTTTATTACCCAAAGAAGCGGAGTTCTTCTACAAAATAAAAAAAAATCAATTTTTGATGTATTTGATATATTAAATAACATCATAATGTGAAAAAATATGAAATATATATATCTTATATGGTTTGATAAAGTCAAAAAATTGGAACCAATCCTTACCATAATATTATAAATAAGGGTAAATTACAAGTTTGGTAACTAAATTTGACTCTCTCCCCTATTTCACTCATCGTACTTTCAATTTTTTCAATTTACTAACTAAACTTTATAGATTTTTTTTGTCCTTCTAACGTTAAATAATTAACAAACTTATGATGTGGTTGTATTCACTACAGCAAAAGTGTTCTATAACGGCGTTTTTAGGGTAAACGCCACAAAATTTAAGCATGTAGCAGCGTTTACTATCCAAACGCCACCAAATTATACTTTAGCGGTGTTTTCCCAACAAACACCGAAATAGAGTGGTAATTTAGCGGCGTTTATAGCTAAAACGCCGGAATTGAATTGTTTACAGTGGCGTTTTTTCAATAAACGCTGCAATAGAGTAGTAATTTCGTGGCGTTTGTATAAAAATGCCGCAACATGATTGTTTATAGTGGCGTTTTTCCAACAAACGACGCTATAGAGAATTAATTTAGCGGCGTTTATCAAACAAACGCCGCAATAGATTTGTTTATAGCGAAGTTTGTGTAAAAAAATGCCGTAATAGATTAATAATTTAGAGGCGTTTGTTATACAAATGTTGCCATATGTTTGTTTATAGTGGCGTTTTTAAAAAACACCACAAAAACGTGTACTACAGTGGTGTTTTTTTAAAAACGCCGCCAAAGGGTTAATATATACTCCACCTTTTTCTTCTGTCTGATCCCTAAATTCATTTCAACGCTGCTTCCTAAAAGGGATTCCTCTCGTCGGTTCCAGTGTCGCGCCATCACCATTGACTCTCGCGCCTCTATCAATCCATAAACAAAACCCCTGCTGCTTTCGTCCATATCATCGTTTGTAATTGTGCCGTGGGTTTCATCTTTCAACAAGGTATTTTTTGGTACTGAACGAATGGTACGTATGTATGCATTAAAGCACTAAAGAATCTGAAATTTAATAAGCATGCAGAAAATCTTGTTTCCTGGTTGATTATTTGATCTTTAACCTCCGTTTATGACCCTGCCAAAATTCTGGGTTTGAGTGAAATTTTGATGGCTATGGAGACAAACTTGTTTCTTTTTCATTAAGATTGATCTTGTTTTTTGTTTTTTTTCTTTGATATGAAGGCATTTATCTGTGAAGAAAAACATTGATTCCCCATAACTCAGCTAACCTTTTGAATGCCGTTTGATTCCAGCTTTGCAAGGGCAGACCAGAAATCTCAATCCACGTTGCTCTTGCTTCTTGTTTTGACGATTCGGTCCACAAGCTAACTTCTGCAAATATCTCCTTTAGATAAGACCAATTAAGGTCCTCTAATAGCATGAATAGATCTCCGTCTTATATAGAGCTTAAGAAAGTTTTCACACTCATTCTATAGACTTTTATCTAAGACCCCAATTATATAACCTCTCCCTTATACTATTAATGCAGCACACCGTTGTCATCTTTCCCACCAAGCTTTTATTTAATTTCCAAAGATCCTCCTTTATTACATGGCCAGCTATTTTCTTGTTTTTTACTTCCCTTTGCAAACTTGATTCTCCAGGTCTAGATCTACACTACAGCAAAAGTGGCTTGTTGTGGTGTTTTTTTTACTTATAGCGGCGTTTTTAAGCGCCGCTAAAAACACCTGCGGCGTAAAGACAAACGCCGCTAAAAGCGCCGCTAAAAATAGCGCCGCTAAAGTTTGCGGCGTTTTTCAACAAAAAACGCCGCAATAGGTGACAACATATAGCGGCAACAAACGCCGCAAAAGGTATTGATATTTAGCGGCATTTTTCAGAAAAACGCCGCAATAGGCGTTGATGTTTAGCGGCGTTTTCTTCACAAACGCCGCAGTAGATGTTTATTTTTACCGACGTTTTTCCTACAAACGCCGCAGAAGATGTTGATATTTAGCGGCGTTTTCCTACAAACAAAATTTTAGCTTAATTTTAGTTTAATTTTTAAAATCCGTGGTTTCATTTCCGCCGAGATAAAATATATTAATCTTTTCCCCCACCTCAACAACTACAAGCAAAATCCTACGGTCAAAGAAATCATATAAATCTTGCAAATGAGATGAACCCTGACATTAGAAGTTAATTGATAAATTCAAGCTTTCTTGGGAGATTTAGTTGCCTTTGATGGAGATTTCGATTCTTTAGAAGAGGCATTTTCAGTCTTCTTTGGAAGAAGAACGGGGTTAATGTTCGGTAAAACGCCACCGTGAGCAATAGTAACGCCAGCGAGAAGCTTTCCCAGTTCCTCGTCGTTCCTCACGGCGAGTAGAAGGTGTCTTGGGATGATCCTGTTCTTCTTGTTGTCACGTGTTGCGTTTCCGGCCAATTCTAGAACCTGGATTCCCAATTCAAAACCGAATTACGAACTACAAATAACAACAATTAACTTATGCGATGACTTGTTCTAGCTTTCAGTTACCTCGGCTGCTAAGTACTCGAGAATAGCGGCGAGATAAACCGGAGCTCCGGTTCTGACACTCTGCGAATACCTTCATTTCTTTAAGTAGCGGCCGATCCTTCCGACGGGGAATTGGAGGCCAGCTTTGGCGGACCTTGAAACTGGCTTCTTCTTTGGGCCGCCGCCTTTTCTTCCACCAGCACCTTTCTGTACTTTAACTCCGGCATCCATTGCTAGAGACAGACGTGAAAAAAAATGATTTTAACGCTTCAAGAAGTATAAAATTCTCAGCTTTGACAAATCGCGGTGCAGAAAATAAAGCGAGATTGGCACGTTTTGTAGCGGTAGTTTAGGCGGGGTGCAACGAGAGGGGATTGAGACCCGTTAGATTGTGCACTTATCGACGGTTGAAGATCCTTTAGAGACGATCCGTGTTGTTTTCAATAACACCAATGAGAAGTGTGAACACTCCAACCAAACGTATCAAAAATATTTAGATGCTTACATTAATTTGTATTTCAATGCTAATTCGACATGGAATATTAATATGTCAGAAACAAATTATATTATTCAAATTTTCATGTTATAAGTAAATTAAAGACTTAAATATATTATTGTCTCCTAAAGTATACTATTTGTATTAAATTGTCCTCTAAAATATTTTTTCAAATATTTTATTTTTTAAACTTTAAATCGTTATCTCATTTACTCTAAATCGTTAACTCCGTTAAAGTAAAAAATCAACACGCCGCTGAGAGGGCAAACGACTGGAGAGAAAGAAAGCCTAACCTGGGTATGGCGAAATGCGACGACGCCGGAGACGAAGAAGGCACGGCGCAGTGAAGGAGATGGCTACTGGTGTTTTCTGGGTAAATTGTAATCGGAAAATCGTAGACAAATCAATAAGGAAGAATGGCTAGGGCTTCAGGAGTTTTAAAATTGGCTTTGCGACGTTTAACATTACAAACGCCGCTGATGTGTAAATAATTGCGACGTTTTTAATTAAAAAACGCCACGTTTGTTAAAATCAATTGCGGCGTTTACAGAAAAACGCCACTAATGTACGACCCATTTGCGGCGTTTCTTGTAAAACGACACTATAAGCAACTCTATTGCGGCGTTTATATAAAAACGCCACTAATGTACAACCCATTTGCAGCGTTTCTTGTAAAACGCCACTATAAACAACTCTATTGCGGCGTTTATATAAAAACGCCGCTAAATTACTACTCTATTGCGGTGTTTTTTAGAAAACGTCACTATAAACAACTCTATTGCGGCGTTTATATAAAAACGCAGCTAAATTACCACTCTATTGCGGCGTTTGTTGAAAAAACGCCGCTAAAGTTTCATTTTCCGGCGTTTCGATTTTAAACGCCGCTACATCCTTAAATTTTGTGGCGTTTTCCCTAAAAGCGCCGCTAAAAACGCCGCTGCATAACACTTTTGCTGTAGTGCTACTAGAATTGTCTTCTTCACCTTGCAACTTTTCTACGTTCGTAGTTTGTTTTCCTTTAAGTTTTCATTTCCTGCTTCAATAGTAAACTTTCTCTCTGTTTGGTGCTGGAACCGTCCAGACTTACGATAGTATGTTGATCTTGCCTTATATTTCGCTATTGACACCGATAGCCGAAAACCATAAAAACTAAAACCGTTTAATCTATTTATTTTTCTGAACGCAACACTTCTATTGGAGAACCTAACAAATCCGAATCTCTTCCCTGTTATGTTCATCTTCCTTGTAATGAATGAGTCCAGAGCATCACCCTACCTCCCAAATAATTGTCTCAGTCTACTCCAATATAACATCGTTGGTATATTTTGAACGAAGAGTGACACCTGTTGCCAATGAGAGCTACCTGAGCTATTGGTAACCATCTTAAGTATTAAACTATTTGAAATAGACCACACTTTCTACCTCAACTTCCGTAAAATTCTTTGCATTACAACAATACTGCCCTCTAACCATGCTCCTAACAACAAGGATGAAGCACTCCTTAATCTCGAGTCCTTGAGAAGCAAAGAAAGAGCCTCCTTGCCATCCGTCTCAAACTTTTACCATTCTTATTCTCAAATCTCAAGCAACTCGTTACCCCTCTAAAATTCCTCTTAGATTGGCATCAATAATCGAGTAGCACCCAATATACTTCGAAAAACCTGACACCCATTTTCCCTAGTGATCTCTAATGACGCCACTGCACATAGCTAATCTTAACTTTATCCGTTTAGACCTGTCAGTGTTTTGCTTACACCACCCAACTGGTCCCAATAAGATTTGCTTTACCACCCTCCCTTGAAGTCATAGCTCGTTCAGCTACAATGAACAGACGTGCACTCTCATGAACAACACTCTCGAAATGAGAGAAATATGGATCAAAAATCAAACTATATCTTTGCTTTCACAAACACCGAATCACACTCCCAAACGATAAATCCCATTCGATATCCACAACTGGGAAATGATTCAAATCATTTATTTTCTTTTCGATCCACGACACCATGTCAAGTTACATTTATAATGATTCTAAATCTGTCTTGTCTAGGCAATGCTAGAACTGCGCTAGAACATTGATTACATTGGAAAATTTATCCCTATTTACTTTCATTTTGTTTCTCTAATCCGAGCGAATGATCTGGTTAATCTTTAATTTCAAAGGAAGTGTAATTTGGATTGTAGATTTGGATGTCATTAGATATTTGATCTGTCTTTGAATATTTGAATAATATTTAGATTAAGTTATTAAAATTACTATGCTTTGTAGAATCGAACACCCCAGATATTATATGTATTTGCGATACTGATACATATTGTAGAATTAGATATTTGAATCTTGATTTGGATTATAAAAACGGGGTATCATTTTACTTCTTGGTCATCTAGAATTACAACATGTATATCATCTATTATCATTTTATTCACAGCTATATTTTGAACTAAAATTAAATATTTATGTTGTCTGCAGTAAAGTTTGAACCTTGCTTTGCGCCAGTTGGTTAAAGTTAAATAATTATTGAACAGTAGTACATGATCAAACATTTAAGGCCTGCGTTGAAAGAATTTGCTTTTACTTTCTCAAGTCCTTGCATGCAACTTCATCATTTACTTTGTTCTTTGGCAGTACGAACAAGACCCTTGAACGATACCATCGTGACTGCTTTGTTCCTCAAGACAATACGCTTGAACGTGAAACCCAGGTTACTATTAAACTTTCTTAGGACGCATGAAGTGTTGTTTTTAAGAGACAAATAATGAAGTGTTGTTTTAAGAGACAAATGAAGTATTGTTTTAAGAGACAAATGAAGTATTGTTTTAAGAGACAAACTTATTATGATTGAATTATATATAAAGGTCCAAGCGTGCTATTCCTCTAGTGTGAATTTATTATGATGTCGATTTATATTGAACAATTAAAAATTAAATTATAACTTCTGTTTAGGTTATACTTTTCTCTATAGTATTAGCAAATAAATGTGAACTTAAATTATTATGTGAAATTAAATTATGTGTGTTTATGAGTGAAATTAAAGTATTCTTGTTTAGATTTGATATTTTCTTGCATATTTTGTTATACACTTTCATCGGTTTGAATTATCTCTATAGCTGCTAATTGAGTTGAGCAACTCCAATTTAGGTTTTAAATTATTATGGACTATATCTGATAGTTTAATGCTTATGTTTAGGTTATAAATGTATCTATAATATTAGCAATTAACATTTTAAATTGAAACTCCAGAAATACGAAATGGATAAGAGTTGGATGGATTTCTCAAGAGTAAGCGTCAAATATCGAAATGAAGTCGAAATCTTTCTAAATTTAGCTTTTGTGAATACAAGCCAAGAGAATATGATTCTTTGCCCTTGTAAGAATTGTGTGAACATTAATTGGCACATTCGTGAAGTTGTGTACGAGTTATTTTCGGATTTGTTCGGGGGTATAGAAAATGGATCTTTCATGGAGAGTCTATATCAAATAGATCTGCTTCCATGACTTATTCGACTTATCCTGCTCCTTCTCACCATTCAACTTTCAGAAAAGATGACATGGAAGGTATGCTACGAGATGCATTTAATATGCACAATCAACAGCCGTATGTTACAGAAAATTATTGTCAGGATGATGTTAATGATTTCATTGAGACATGAAGAATTAGATGTGATGAAGAGCCAAATGGAGAAGCGACAAAGTTTTACAAGTTGTTGACTTTATGAGGGATCAAAGTTTTCAAAGCTTTCGTTCTGCATTCATCTTTTCCACTTAAAATGCCTGGGATGGTGGACTGGAAACTCCTTTACGCAATTGTTGGAGTTACTAAGAGAAGTGTTTCCTTTTGTAAAAATCCCTCAATCATGCAAATATATGAAGAAAATGATAAAAGATTTGGGTCTTGGATATGACAAAATTCATAGTTGTACGAATGATTGCATGTTGTATTGGGATGATCGAAAAAATCATGAATCTTGTCATGTATGCTGAGAATCTCGATGGATGACTACGGAGGCAGAAAATGTTACTGAGCATGAAGGTCAAGCACGATCAAGAAAGAAACCGATCAAGATTATGTGATATTTCCCTCTAATACCTAGGCTACAAAGATTGTTTATGTCCTCCAAGATTGTTGACTCTATGAGGTGGCATCATGATGGCAGAACCGATGATGGAGTATTACGGCATCCTGCAGATTCTTTAGCTTGGAAGTCATTTGACAACAAGTATCTAAGTTTTTCCAGAGATCCTCGAAATGTCAGGCTCGGTCTTGCAACTGATGGCTTTAATCCATTCAAAATAATGAGTACTTCGTATAGTACTTGGCCTCTTGTACTTGTTCCATATAATTTGCCTCCCTGGATTTGCATGAAACAATCATCTTTCATCTTATCCATGATAATCCCTAGAGAGAAAGGCTCCGGAAATGATATTGATATTTACATGCAGCCGTTAATTGTTGAGTTGAAACAGTTATAGGAAGGGGTTGAAACGGACGATGTGTTGACAAAAGAGAACTTTAATTTACGTGCGACTTTATTATGGACAATTAATGATTTTCCATCTTATGCAAATTTATCTGGTTGGAGTACCAAAGGTCGTTATGCTTGTCCTTGTTGTGATGCAAAAACATGTTCGAAGTAGTTGGTTAATGAAAAGAAGTTCTCTTATATGGGACATCGTTGGTGGTTACCTGATAATCATAGATTTAGATGTCAAAAGAATATGTTTGATGGTGATGAAGAGTTTTGAAATACTCCTGACCAAACAACCGGTTCTCAAATATTCAGAATATTGAAAAATATAAATTTTACTTATGGAAAGATGAATCAACCAAGTAGTACACGATCAAAGAAAAAGGCAAAGCAGGTCAATGAAGAGGTTGAAGTTGACGAACAAACTGATGATGAGTCTGATGAAGAGGATGATCCAAATGAGGTATGCTTGTGGAAAAAGAAGAGCATATTCTTCGAGTTACCTTATTGGAAAATTCAGATTTTGAGACATAATCTTGATGTAATGCATATTGAGAAGAATGTTTGTGAGAATATTATCGGGACCATTCTAAATGATGGCAGAAAATCTAAAGATAATCTTAAGAGTCGACTTGACTTAGTGGACATGGGAATTCGGCATGATCTTCATCCGCAATTACATCCAAATAGAAGAAATTTCTTGTCGCTTTCTATTTTTTCTCTTTCGAAAAAAGAAAAAGAAGTGTTTTTCACGGTGTTGACGGATATAAAGGTTCCACATGGGTATGCATAAAACATTTCTCGACGGTCAGCGTTAAAGATCGAAGACTTTATGGTTTAAAGTCACATGATTATCATATATTAATGCAAGATTTACTGCCAGTAGCTGTTTGCAGTTGTATGTCGAGTAAGGTGACGTCTTGTATCATTGAATTTTCTAATATAATGAAAGCCATCTGTGGGAAAGTTCTAATGGTTGAAGAACTTGATAAACTACAAGATCGAGTCGTCTTGACTTTATGCAATTTGGAGAAGATATTTCCACCTTCATTCTTCACAATTATGGTGCATCTGCTAATTCATCTTCCTCACGAAGCAAGAGTTGGTGGTCCCATTTTCTATCGATGGATGTACCCTATAGAGAGGTATTAATTGAATTACACGAAATGAATGAACTACTGATTATACCTCTCACTCAAATGCTTTTACGTAGTATATTGTTTTGTGTATAGGTTCTTGGGCAAGTTGAAGTCTTATTGTCGTAATAAGCGTTATCCGGAAGGATCAATTGCTGAAAGGTATTTGGCGGAGGAATGCATGACATTTTACTCAAGATATTTGGAAGATATTGAAACAAGATGGAATAAACCAAATCAAAATGATGTGTTAAGTACTGATGACTTTCCTCAACATTATTTGTTTGGAAGTTATGGTCAACCATTAGGGAAAGTTGAAATTGCACACTTAGATGACACGTCTTGGGTACAAGCACACTGGTATGTTCTTTTCCATCACGATTCAATAAATCCCTTTCGCACGTAAGTCTTTCAGACCCAATCCTAATGAAATCTCTTTATCTTTTATATTTATCAATTTTTAACGAACATAATATTATTTATAGTGAGTTTAAAGAAGTATTGAGATCTCAAGCACGCTCCCAAAGATTAAATCAGCGAAAGCTACATAAGTTATTCACAGAAACTTTTCATGAATGGTTAGGCCAGATGGTAAGCAACTAAATCTTACGGCACACTTATAAATTATATATGTCTTGTTTTTTATATCGACATCAATGCAAATTAATTCACCATTCATGTGTAATAGGTTTGGAGTGGGAGAGATGTTAGTGATAAAGTTAAATGGCTTTCTCAAGGTTCGAATAGAATAGTTAAAAGATATAATGCCTTCCTCATTAATGGGTTCAGGTTCCATACGAAATCTCGTGAAAGATTAAGAAGGACACAAAATTATGGAGTCGTAGTTACTTCGTCAACTACAAGTTATTCTATTGCAAGGGACAATAATCCGCATGAGGGAGAGGTCGATTATTATGAAAATCTTACGGACATTATTGAGTTAGATTATTATGGAAAATGAAAGGTTGTGTTGTTTCAGTATGACTGGGTTGATGTAAACAGATGAATAAAAAGAGATAAATTCGGGTTTACAATGGTGAATTTCTCTCGATTAATTCACACGGGTCAACGTTTGATGGATGAACCATATGTATTTTCTTCTCAAGTGAAACAAGTATTTTATTGTCACGATTCAATGGATGACGGTTGGTATGTTGTGCTTCGAAATACTCCCAGAGACTTTATAGACATCGGAGATGGAAGTAGAGATGACATTGAAACAATATCATAATGTTTACCTCTACTACCACAAAACTTAGATGAAACTATCACTAATACAACACAATTTCAATGGGTTCGGGAGGACGTTGATGAAGATATTTATGACATCTGACATTACATAAGACTTTTGTACGATTTTATATCTTCATTTATTTATAATGTTATAACCTTTAACATATTGTCTTTCAATATATTCATTAATTAATTTGTTTTTTATTACTCATGTTTGTTTATTATATATATCATGCCGAGGAGAAAAATAATTGATTTGCGGGTTGTTCGAGCTTCTGAAGACTATGAAGAAAGAAATAACGAAGAATCGAATGCACCTGAGTCTTCCAAAGTTCCTGAAACTGTTGAAAAAGAAGTAGAAATTCAAAGTAATCTTCGAAACATTATTTACTACTTTGTTCATTTTCAAAACTGGCATTTAATAATTTATTATATAATTGAAAATGTTGGAGCGCGCAAGACTCGAGGACGTACAACTTTGAAGGAATTATACCAACTTTATCCTGGGCATCGTGTCAAAGTTTCAAGAAATGATGTCGGTCAACCTAATGGCCCAGAATCACGTCTTCTAGTAGGTTACTTAGGCATAGTTGGACGTAATGCGAATATGTTACCGATCAATTACGAGTCATGGCGTGAAATGCCTAATAGTAACAAAAATATTGGATTTTGTTAAGGTAATAATGTCATTATAATAGATACTCTATAAAAATTCAATACTAATTTATACTTACGGTGCACACTTATTTGCTGTATAGGAGAAATTTTCTTTAGAGGTCTCTGATGATTATGTGAAGCAAGCGTTAGGGAAGAGATGGAGGGACCACAAGATCTCCTTAAAGAAGAAATACTTCAAGAATGATCTTAGCCTTGAAGAGAAGTTGCAAACAGTCCCACCAGGAATGCTCAGGTACCAATGGGAATATGAAGTCAGATTTTGGAGTTCAAAAAAAGGACATGTATGATGTATTTTTCAGAAATAATTGTAACAAATTTTAAATCATCATTAAAAGTGATTACTTCACATTATAGGACCGAGAGCATGTTGGTGTTGCTAGCAGGCAATAACAAAAGTTTACGCACACGGCTGGATCAAAGAGCTTTGCTTGTATAGCTCATGAGGAGGTATTATAGATTATTGAAATAGTTTTTTGTATTACATGTACATACTAACTCATAGTAATTATATTATGGTACATTGTAGGAAAATACATCCGGTTCTAAAGTTGGTCGAATCCTACTTTTTGACATGACACATACGAAGAAGAATGGCACTCCTATGACTGCTGACGCTGTATAAATTATGGTACGTTTATTGGGTAGACGTTTTAAATTTACCTGACTTTATTTATATTTGTACCATGATATTTTTTTATTTTAATTAATTATTCACTTTATTATTAGGAAAAATTGAGAGAGAGAAAGACGGAGCATCATGCTACTGCTTCGAGTCAAGGTATTGTTAATGATGATGACATTGAAAACCAAACTATTAATGACGTTTTGGGTCCTGAAAGATATGGTCGGGTGCACTGTCAAAGATCATTCGTTACTCTCACCAAATATTTTTGGATCCAGCTCATCATAGTACATGTCATCAGACTCTCGATCTTCCCACTAGGAAGTTAGTCATTTAAAAGAAAAGTTGGCTGAGATGGATCAACAAATGGCTAACTTGAAAGCGGAAAATGAAGCAAGGGAAGCAGAGAGAGCAGCAGCGGAAGTAGCCAGAGCAGTAGCAGAAGCAGAGAAAGAAGCAGCGACAGCATAGAGAGATGCAGCAGCAGCACAGAGAGAAGCGACGGTAGCACAGAGAGAAGCAGCATATCAGTAGATATGTGAAGAATTTGAAAAATGACTCAATGATATGATGCTAATGATATAGAAAACGCAACCTCGGAATCCACAATCGTAGTCTCATTTATGTTATGAGCATTCTGTCAATGTTACCGAACCTTGTTTAACTGAACTTATATTACGTTAATGAAATCTTTTATTTATTATATTGGATTTGATGTTGTTTGTTATGGATAAAGAGAATATGTTATTTTTGTTTTGTTTGTTGGATAATGGAACAGGTTGAAAAAACGGATTTAGCAGCGTTTGTATACTAGAAACGCCGTAATATAACATACATTTGGCAGCGTTTGTATACTAGAAACGCCGCTATATACCTAACTTTAGCGGCGTTTGTATGAAAACGCCACTAAATCTCAACACCTATTGCGGCATTTTCAATAAAAACACCGCTAATTCTCAACTCTTATTGCGTCATTTTCGATACAAACTCCGCTAAATCTGAAAGTCTACTGCGACGTTTGTGGGAAAAAGGCCACAAAATATCAAAACCTTCTGCGGCGTTTGTAAGTAAAACGCCGCTAAATCTCAAAACCTATTGCGACGTTTGTAGGGAAAACGCCGCTAAATATCAACACCTATTGCGGCATTTTTCTGACAAACACCGATAAATAACAAACCCTATTACGGTGCTATTTTCAGCGATGCTATTTACGACGTTTGTCATAACGTCGCATGTGTTTTTAGCGGTGCTTAAAAACACTGCTATAGGTAAAAAAGGCCGTAGAAAACTTGTTTTGCTGTAGTGATTTTAATCAAAACGATGTCATTTTAGTCTAAATTTAATATAAGTCGTTTTGATGTAAGTTGCCATGTCATAATGCTATTAACTATTTTATTTGATAACGACGGAGTGACAAAAAATTGGATCTATAAAATTCAGTAAGTAAATTAAAAGAAAGTATAGTGAGTGAAATAGAAGAGATAGTAAAGTTTAGTTACAAAACGTGTAATTTACCCTATAAATAATTATAATAAAATTAGCACTGAAACTCGAATAACTTGATTTAAATAATTCGACCCAAATTTCTTAAACTTGACTCGACTCGACTCAAAATATTTATAATTAAGTTCAAGTTGTAAAATACGATACGTGATCAACTCGAATAACTCAAAATTTTTAATTTAACTCGATCTGACTCGATCGAATACTCACCCCTGGAACTACTCTGCAAGTTTTCTTATATATAAGACTTGGCTATCCAAAATCCCATAATTATATTGAGTTATTACAATTTTGAATCGATTTTGTTTAATAAAAAGTCATTCTTAAATCCAACAAATTTAGAGTCAATATAGTTTTGGATCTATGTGGCCCATAAAGTGGAACCATTGACCCCGTCTAAACCAAAGGACCTAAGCCAACTAGTACAAGTTCCCAAACTTGGCAACCATTCTCCACGTCGAGATCGTGCCGCTTCCTAGGGCATAGTGGCTGTGCCCATTCGTCATGCCTTAAAACTTGTCGAAGATTTAGTAGTAACAATCATAATCTAATTACTACCCTTATTATTATAATTACCAATAAAAATGTGGAGTTTTTGAACAAGGAACGGCCTGTGTCCGCAACTCCCTTATTTGTATATATGAGTAGGGTGCTGGTGGAGCTGTACAGAAAGTGACTGCTGTTTCACCTTCTTTTTCTTCCAATCTTTGTTAGTTTTGCATCTTAGTTTGAGCAGAGAGAGAGAGAGAGATGGGGAATTGTCAGGCCATTGATGCTGCTGCGTTGGTGATACAACATCCGTGTGGGAAGATGGACAGATTGTATTGGTCCGTACCCGTGAGCGAAGTCATGAGGATGAATCCCGGTCATTGTATTTCGCTCATCATTCTATTACCTGATCGGAACGACAATCCAGAAGACGAGACCGTACGTTTCACTCGTGTCAAGCTTCTTCGTCCTGGTGAAACTCTCACACTCGGCCATGCTTATTGCCTCGTCACATCTCATGGTATTTTTCCGCCAGCTGGACTCTTGTTTTTGCTTATTTTGATTATGGAACTAATGGTTTTGTATGTTTTGGCTGAGGTTATGGAGGTTTTAAGGGCGAAGAAATATGCGAAACCGAAACGGCAACAACACCTGGAATCAAGTGAAAAGCTGCAGCATGAACAAGAACAAGGGAACCAAAGCTTGCAGTCTCAGGCGGCAATGACAAAGCATGAAAGACGACGCCCGACGATAGCACCTGCGAACGCAGCTGCAATGAGCTCAAAATCATGGCGGCCTTCATTACAGAGCACCTCCGAGTCTTCAACCTAGTACAGTTCGTAAATATCAGATTGTGTTTTGGGAGCTGAGATCGACTAATTCCATTATGAACCCATCAATAAGAAACATCTATGTATAGCTTCCGATTATATTGTATCATGGTATTCTGATAAAAAAGAACCCGTTGAATATCGACAATGACATGTTTAAAGAAATCCCAATTCTCATCATCGAACCAAACATTCACACAAATATTTCCTTTTGGGTCAATTATTGAAAATGTTCAAGCAAAAACCACTTCCTTGCACCAATGGGCCTATTTTGTTCAACACAACATATAAAGTTCCGATCCATTTATATTTGTAAAATAACTTTTAGCCGAAGTTGAAACCATTTGTGATGCTCACTACACAAAAAAACCCATTTTTTAATTTCAAGCCCAAATCTAAAACATACAATCCATTTTTTTAAAATAAATTGTCATTTTATTCTTATTTATATTCTTTTAATAGCATGAGATAATTATATGGTAATTTCTATTCGGAATTTTTCTTGATCATTGGCAACGTACGCATATTCCATAGATGTAACTGCTCGAACCTATGACCTCCGAGTAGAATAATACTCTTTTTTACTACTGAGATTGCTTAAAAGATTCGAGTACTAATCACATTTTTAATATAAATATTAAGTTTTGACATTGTATAATGAAATTATGGAATGGGGAAGGTGATTAAAACAAGTCAATTTAAAAACCAATAGAAGGCAGGAAGCCTTTAAACAAAATTCAAAAGGTGAGGGACCTTACACATTTAAAGCGATGAGATAATTAATTTCTTGAGAAGAGTTTCCAAAAAATATATAATAAATTAAGTTTAAAAGAAAAGTTTTTGTACACGGCCCAACCCCATCAACTTTGTGCTCCACGATTACGGATGGGCATGGGACCGAACCCGACCCGATCGGATCGTTTTTAAATTGGATTCAGGTCATGTCGAATTTGGATTTTGGGTGGACAATACTTGATCCGGCCCAATATATATATATATATATATATATAATTTTATCTTATATATTTAAGAATAATTACAATAATATCCCTCTATATATTAATTTTTTCAATTAAATCATTTTTTATTAAATAAAAATAAAATTTTATTATTATTTTGGGTAGGGTTGGATCAGGTCGGGTTTTTAAATTATAAATCGGGTCAGGGTCGGGTTGGATCTCAGGTAGAGGATTCCTTGTTCTCGGGTCAGTTCGGGTAGACCAAAAATCAGATCTGACCCGACCCATACCCATCCCTATCGACGATGCTCACGTTTCCATTTATTCAATCCTTATATATGTGCAAAATGTCAAATTCTAAAGCCTTTGTTGTTATCAGCCATATGCAAACGCTTTCCCTTTTATTCACATACAATAAATTATATAAATCTTCAATTTTTATCAAACAAAATTTTTTAAATTTTTTATAAAATTTTATCATACTCATAAATAATCAGTTTTTTTTCAAGGTAAGTTATTTATTAACTTATAAAAGTAAGATTAAGATTTTGTTTGTGATAAAGTAAGATTTTTATACAATATTAAATCTGTATTAATCGACTGGTTTTAAGCATTGGTCTTACATGATATATATATAATATCTTACTTCCCCGTGCCCCCTTTCTTTCCCTTGTGGTGTAGCTGGAAAATATTGTGAGGTGGGATTTTGAGTTGGAATGCACTCTTAACAGATATTTTCTCAAGCTTCTACGATATTCTCATATGCACCAGTCATTTTATATCAGCTGAGACTAGTCGAAACCTAAAGAATCTAGCATGCATACATACATGATACATAGAGTATGTTCTCTAAGTCATCCATTTCTTCCCCTTAAACAGTAAAGAAGCAAATGATTAAAGAAAAGATCCGGGTTTGAAATATTAGACATGCATGCATTTTCCAATATCAGTCTAATCCGAACGTCTAATATTTGTACTTTGGAGAGAAATAACCTTTTGGATTACCATCAGAATTTTTTGTTTAGCCATTGAGGCATTCGACGATCTTTCGGCTAAACAGCTGTTTGCTTTCTTACGGTGCATGTTCCTGAGGTTTCACGTGCTTTCTTAATATCGCGTTGTCGTGGGGCTGCAGGCACCAAGACTAAAGTTAAATAAAGAGCAGTAAACAACGCTCCCTCGAAAGTATCCAAAGACTCTAAAAACTGTGAATTGGAAACTGCAAACCGGGCCAGACCGCTCCTAACCTATCTCTATTAGGGGTATAAATGAACTAAGTTTGGATTTGAAAGTTTTTATTTTCGTGTCCGTTTATTTATTTTTTAATCTGTTTGTATCGTTCGTTTAGCATTTGCATATATATTTGTGAACATGTTCGTTTATGGTTCTTGAACTTATTTGTTTAGCGTTTGTCAAAAAATTTTGTTTAACATTTGTGAATGTGTTTCGTCAAAATAATGAAATTATGCCACTAGTCCTTAAGTTGCTAAGGCTTCACAATTTGAAATCCAAAGTTCACATTGTATTCATTTAAGTTCCTACCTTATCCAACATTTAAAATGTAAAAAATGGGAAAAAATGAGAACTAGATAAAAGAGCTTGTTTATGAGCATAAACAAATCAAATACACTTATGTTTGTATTCATTTAATTATTAAATGAACATAAAAATTTTATTCATGCCCATTTATTTAACTTAATAAATAAAAATAAAGAAATGATATACCAACAATTTATGAACAATTCATTGAAGTTATGGTCATTTGCACCTAATTTCTATATAAAGCTTTTGAACGCATAAGTTGGGATACAATTTGAAACCTTTTACATATAACCCCACGAGCTTGTTTTCATCTTCTTTAAAAAGATCGCCTTTAAAAAACTCAACTTTAGGGTCCTCCAAGTTTTTCATTGCCGTGTTCTAAAGTAGAAACTGCTCAACAAAAGAGACGGTAAAAGAGGTAGATTATGAACCCTACACACATGCACCTTCACTTTTCATTCATAGGGGAGGTGAAAAAACTTTTGGTGTTTGGGCTTATACCTCGGATTCCTCACTTTAAACATCATTTTCAGAGCAGAAAATAAAAGAATTCGTGGGCGTGAATTTCTCCTCTCTTTGTGTAAAGATAATGAGGAAATGCATTAGTTGGCGACTACTCAGCCACATCATCCACCAGCAACAGAAGAAGATGCTATAATAGGGTTGAATCATGTGAAAAATGAAAACCCCAAAGTCCCATCTCGTAAAGCATGATTTGATGTTGATGATGATAATGGTGGGATCTTGTTGCTCACAAAATCCAAATCCTCTTTCGTTAAAAGCGCCCCCAAAACACCAAAACGTCTTGTCACATCATTGTCCCCACTTCGATGGTTACGTTTATACGCTCCTCCCCATCATCATCATGCACGCGTCGTTAAAATAACCCACAAACTAAAATAAAATACTAATAAAACTGTTTAGGGTAAAGGGATATTTTGTTATACGGCCATTGCTATTTAGTTTTTACACCCACTTTTATTTTTCTATATTTTTATCAACTACACTAAGGTCGGAGGTCTTCCAAAGTTGTCTTCAATATGACGTTGGGATCAGTTTACTACCTTACTTCCCCCTTATCCCATTACATATGAGAATCAGGGTTTTGTTATTATTGTTGTTTATCAACTACACTAAGAGATGATAACCACGTCATTGCATTTCAACAGTTTAGCATATTATCTGTTCTATTCGTAGATTAATCCAAAATCTTCTTGTATAATATATAATATAGATATATACTATTTTGTGACAAAAACTCCACGGGATGGGGTGTTAGGGATTAATTATAGTTATCGATTTAATGTTGCTTTTTGTTATAATAATGTAGCCTTTTTAGTGGGGAAGATGGTGTCTTTTTAGGGTTGATAATACTCCCCAAATCTTCATGGCTCCCACACCTTGCAATACTAATGAGAAAGCACCAATTCACACAGAATTTTATAAAACCATTCTTGATAATTATATCATCCAAGTGGATTCTGACACGTTTGATCATCGAAATCACACTGCTGAAAAACAAGTAAATATATGTAGGAAAGCGCCCCCATGAATTTCGTGTATTTGCTTTCCAGTTAAAAATAATAATCTCAGAACAATTAAACAAAGACTCGGTCGTCAATTATTGTCAAAATAGACTTGAAATTGTTATATGAGAGTGGTCCTTGAATCCCTTAATCTATGGGGAAGAACATACAGGTCAGAAGCTGCATTAAGGACAAGTCCAAGAGGGTTAGATGAAATAGTACTGTTGAATAATTGTCCCCTTGTGCCACCCTGGTTCATAGACATGTAAATTTAATATCTACAGTAATTTATCTAAAAAAATAATATCTACAGTAAGATGCCACGTCTAGTAAGTGGATTGGAGTGGGCTGATAAGGTTATAAAGCTACTTGCATGACGATTGGTCTGAAAAATGCATGGTTAAGTTTTTACGTTCCACTTTTTAAAGGGCCATTGTTGTAATCTTTACACACATGCAAAGATAATATGCCCCTATGTCGGGGATCTAGGGCAAACTTTTCTCTTGCTTATATGCAATGTTTCCATGAAATTTATCTGTATATGCACATTAATTGTAAAATTTAGGACACGATGATAGAAGATTGTTTATTCCTGATTTGGATGATAAATTATAATACGAGAACAATTGACACACTATTCTCTTTAGAATCATCTATTAATATCAATTAGCAAAGTCAACAGTTCTAATTTTAATGTTTAGAAATGAAATAAATTAGATTAAGAATATCATATTTATCTCTACAATACTTAATATAAATTAACTAATCAATAGATTAGATACAACCATACATGTAACTAATGTAAAAAATCATCTATAACTGCTATTTGTCCAAATCAAGGCCGGGAGGTGGGAGGTCGTGTTCGTGAAATGAGTTGCCTGCGGGACCGAGACCTAGTCCCGTCACTCTCTCAATCACAAAATCGATGCCTCCACAGAGTTCTACTCATTTAATTTTGCTTTACACACTAGATACACTAACAGTATAAAACCAATGGGAAAGCTACAAATTATGAGGTGTCAGTGTACAAGGAAAACAAAACAAGGAAGAGAGAGAATTGAAATGAAATGAAAGAAAGTAGTATTATAATATGATTTTTTATTTATTCACGGGACGAATACAACAAGCTTAAAAAAAAGGCCCCAAAGACCTTTGTATATCAAACAGATTTTCCTCCTCCTCAGAAGGAATTTCAAAAAAAAAAAGATAAGGGGAAAAATTATATGCACACGTGTCACCATCACACGCCGAACACCGCCGGATCAAATCCGCTGTGGGTTTAGGCCAACAAAGTCAAGGCCATATAGAAAAGAACAGAAGATGAATGAAAAGGAAAGGAGGCATTTCCCGCCAAAAAAGCACAATTACACACGTGCGTGTCACACATGCCGAATGTGTGAACACAAAATCCACTCAGAATAAAAAAACCCATTTTTTTTTGTTCATTTTTCATATTTGTATCGAGGAAGGAGGAGCTTCAACGTTCAATCCCTAAATCCGCCTACCCAACTCACCAAAATTTCTCTGCTTTCGGCTCTCCTATGCCAAAGGGACCCGCCATCTCCTTCAATTCCAGGCTTCCACACCCTCGCACTATGAAATATTTATGTAACAGATCCCTTTGCCTTGGGAATCTGTAAATCCATCCCCACCAACGAGAATATTTTATACATCACCAAACTCTTTAATATTTTTTACATCACCAAACTCTTTCTTACATGCACTCTTGCAGGTCAATTACTCTCAAAACCCTGACCCTTCACCAAAATTATATATTCACCAAGGGTTCTAGACAACTTGGGCCACCATTGGTCCCCTTACTTGGAGTTTCTGTCATCGTCCACCCAGAAACAGTTATTTAATTTTCTCCTTTTGTAAGAAGGTAAGGAAGAAGAAGACGAGGAAGATGAGTCACTGGACCTCATTCTGCCTCGGATAGTGACTCGAAGCTGCGGCAACACCTTTGGTTGTTTCCTCCTCGCATTGTCTTCAACAAGTTCTAGCATCAACCTGTAGCAGCTCAAGATTTTCTCCTGCGAAATTCGGATATTTTTGCAAATTCACAAACGGGTTTCTAGTTTAACTTGGAAAGGGGAATCGTTACCGATTTCCACACATTAGTTGAACTTACCTTGCTTAGCCCGTCACACCATGACTCGGCATGTTCAGGATTGAAAAGAGACAAGTTTGGGATTTCATTGGCTGCACAAAGTATCGCTGCTGCAGCGATGCTTGACGGCCTATACTCTAGAAAGCTCGCCTCTGTTCACAAACATCAAAACAAATACGAATTTCAGCTCATATATGCACATAATTATATGAACCAAGACAAAAATAATAGCAATGGATGATGATGATAATACCTTTGATATTTGATAAAATAATATCTGATGCTCTTGAAATCAAAAACCCCAGAAAAGTTGATGTTGGGTCGAGCTTGCACGCGAAGAAATCAATGAAACTGAATGGCGTTACTGATCGCAGTCTCCAATCCAGAACCGTCAGCACAAGCAGTTCCATTCTTTGAATTGTTTTTGGTTCAAAAATGTATTTTGCTCCCTCTACCTGCATTTATATAATATATACAAACATCTTTTTTGTTTAAAAGTACATTATTTTCTAATCAATCCATAAAAGGAAATTACGAACAATCATGTAAAGATTGAGTATAGAAAAAGAAAAATTAATGTACCTGGAGATCTATAAGAGATGGAACAAGATGTTCCTCCATCTTCGCTGCTAACGACAAACACGCAATAGCTAGAAGTTGCAATGGCCACCCTCTATTTTCCTGGATGGTAAAACAAATTTCATTGTTGTTGAAAATTCAAAAAGTGAAAACAATTTCATCAAACAGTTGAAATTTAATCACTCAAATCTCGTTATACACCTAATAAATCCTTCACAAATAAGCTTCGAGTGAAATTAACAGCGATGGGAATAAAATCTCACCGGCAAGCGGCGGGAATACAGAAATCGATCCAGATAGTTAACGGAAAGATACGCCGTCAAAGGCTGCAAATTGTAGTATGCTTGTACCTGCAACCAACCAAACAAAAGGGATATTAGCATTACTTGAAAAAGAAAAGGAGAATGAAAAAGTGATAAAATCGAAAAAGTTGAACGTAACAGCCGTCCATCAAAAGACACTTGATGTGCATTTTAGCAGAACTTTGAAAGTTTCAAACTAAAGTGCGCCAGTGGTCTTGTTGTACAATTTACCTTTAGAATCCATGCAACAGATTCCTCTCGAGCCGACGCGTCAAGAGATTGGCACTGAAACCGAGCCAAGTAATCAAATCCGGGGACGAAGTTCGTTTCGTCTTCAATAAAGCCATCGATGGATGATTCCTCGATCGACGTCGCCGGAGACTCCAGTTCCGAGGAACATGGCGGCGACTCGCCGGATAATACCTCGTCAGAATCCTCGGAGCAGAGTAAGCCCGTGAAGCGATCGGAACATGAAACCGACATATTGAGAGTGGATTTGATGATAGAAACGATGACGGCAATCGTGGCCGCTGATCCCTACACATTATCTCTCCATACCAAGCGGTAGACCGAGTAATAACTAGATGTTGAAACAAATCGAAGCGACGGCGATGTTCTTCTAAAATAGGTGGATGAGAGAGAGATACAGAGGAGGAAGAGAAATGGTCTTTTTTTGGGGGTTGTTAAGCGTTGATGTTCTTTCTGGTAGTTTGGGGTTGGAGAGTTGAGGATTTAAAACTGGGGGAGTTATCGTTTGGAGTTTTGTTTCTATTAAGTGTTCGGCATTATTAGCCTAAAAGGTAATGGAAAACTGTTATTTAAAGCCGTGTCTAAATATTTTTTTTATTAAAAATAAATATTTTTTTTTTATATTTTTAAGTGTATATCTTTAAGAAACATCGTTAAGTAACATGTGTCATGTTTATATATTTTTAAATTTTTATTTAAAAATAAAATATTATTTTAAAATTAATTGTAAACACTTAAAAGTATAAACAGATAAAACATTAGACATTTATTTAAAAAAATCTATAAGCACCAAAAATTAATTTTAAGTATAAATTAGACACTTATTTTTATACTAAACTTTATTTAAAGTTATGAGAGAATTATAATAATAAAAATAAAAAATATTGTTAATTATTGAGTGTTGTTTCTTTCTCTGATAAAATCAAAAACAAAATGCATGTTAAATGATGTCGTTATTTTAATTTTTATAAATATTTAATACTTCTATGAAAAAAATCAACACCGGTTAAAATATCTATATATAGGTTAGACCATAAATGAGTATTCGATTCAAATTTAACATGTTGTAGTTTAATTTTATAAAGTTAATTTTGAAAAAAAAAACGATTTAAATAAAAAAATTAAAGAAAAATATCGGATCAGGTTAAACTTAAGTTTAAAATAAAAAAAATATTTAACATAATTTAATCTAAATATAATAATATAATTTTCTTTTATATATTTAATAATAATCATTATAATAATCATATATATCCAATTTTATTTTTATTTAATTTAATAAAAATGAAATATATATATGCGCCTATTGATCCGAGTAAGATTGATCAAATTGTTATTATAAAACCACATTAAATTCTAGATCGAATGAATTTTTTTATATCAATATAAATGATGAATATATGAATATTATATTTAAGTTAAATTTAAATAGAAAAACAATTATCTCAACTCGGTCTATAATTATCCCTAACACGGACAAACAAGACGCTTTCTCAATTTCTACCTCCTGTTACACTTGTAATAGTGTCGCGGCGTCATGACTGTCATCCATAATTATGGCTCAGTTCAGTGTTGTTTGTTGCTTTGTTGCTTTGCTTCGCTTAGCTTAGCTTAACGGCTTTCCTTGTATCTGTGTTTATAGGGGTAATGTAAACGAAAATTATTGGATAGATTCTATTTATTACGTCATTTATGATGTTAATAATGAGATTTATTAATTTTAAAATAAATATTCGTTCTTTATTTATATGTATTGAAATAAGTGAATGTTCATCTTAAAAATTGAGATAAATAAATATTATTGATTGAGACTACAAATGACATAGTGAATTGGGTTTATAGTAATAGATGCAAATTATATTTAGGGTAAATATATGCCTACATTGGAACTCGAGCTTTTTTATATTAGTTGACCATTTTACTACGGATGCCCACCTTAAAATTTTATTCGTATCCAACTCATACGAAAAAATTCAATAATTAATATGCTTGTGCCCACATTCAAAAATATTTATAGATCAGCCACTGCGAATTCATCTAATAAATTTTTGCAAATGTAGGAGCAGTCTCGCACTTCAATTTTTTTCCCAATCCTACAAACCACTTGATTACAGCAGTAAACGGATCGTCTGAATCGGGTTTGAATTATTTTTTATTCGAATTTTGAATAAAATTTAAATTGTTATTTTCATAGTTTGTATCGAATATCGAATCGAATAAATCAATTCAAATAATTTGATTGATATCAAATTATTATTTGAAAAGCCAATAGAGGTATTTGCAAAAAAACGGATAGTGTTATGAAACCAGTGAACATAATTTTGGGCATTTGAATGATGAAGGGGCAGTGGTGGTGAGAATGGGCATTGATTCAAAATGGTGGGAAAGTGAAAACATGTGACAATTTCCTCATGTCAATGACAATGTTGTTGAAATCTTTTATTTGTTATCATTATTACTGAATCCAGTTATGATATAGTATATATTTATTTGGTGGCTCTATGCACAAATGTGTAAATATGAAAAAAAACAACCTACTCCCCCTCACCCCCACTATTCAAGTTTCTAGGGCTCATTATATTTTCTCTAATTAAAATTGGAAAAAAAACCTTTGGATAAATGCTTGATTAAAAAAAAATAAGGATTAAGGAATAGTTCACTTATTATTTAATGGATAATCACATATTTATCTTTAATAGATTAAATAGAATTTTAAATACCAAAATCAACATTCAACATTGAAAGATGTCATTCGAGGCATCATTCGTATCCTATTTTTCCCCTCCAATTGCAAGGGGCTTTTTCCCATTAATTTGGACCGACCCAGGTCGTACACCAGATTTTGATGAGTGAACTTCCAGTTGGAAGTTTTTGCATACACGATAACTCGAACTTAAGATGTTGTATAACTAATATCAAGTTGCTTATAAGTTAAATCAACTGTTGCGTCATCCTTGCTTTCAACTTTGAGGAATATTGTAAATTGATATCGAAATCTTAACTTTAGATCCGTGGATGATATTTTTTATACAGTAATTGATGATTTTATAAATATTAACTTACATTATTCCTATATAGGTCCATGTAATGACGTCTAAATTAACCATAGTATTTTGAAAGAAGGTTCATATGCCATTGGATTTTTAACTTTTATCCTTTGAATTTTCTTTTCTGTATCTATGTGAATTACCTACACCAGACAAGAAATTCAAATTTGTCGAAATATTGGAAAGTAATAAAATTTTATTCTTTCGGCTCCCAAACTGGGGTTGATCGATTTGGACTCCCATCTTTTGTAGTATTAAATGGCTTATGCATACTATTTGCTGATCATAGAAATATGACCTAAGGCTTAGGTCATTATTATGTCTTTATTTTAGTTAAAATTTTCAAATACATCCGTTTAAAAAAATATTTTTTGAATTAATTACTAATATTTGATCTATTGATCAACTATTCTATATCAAGTATTGTAGAGGCAAATATGACCCTATCAACTTAGTGTATTCCATTCGCAAACACCAATGTTTGAACATATGACATTGCTTAAGGAATCTATTGCCTGATTCCAATAGACCTACTGATTGTTAGTCTGTTTAAAATAATTTTTTGATTTATCGTAAAAATGATAATTTTATTCCGTCAATAGTTATTTTTTTTTTCAAATTAATATTTCAAGTCGAACTTAACCCTAAATTAATATGTTAGTTGACATATAATTTAAATAACAATTCAAATTCAATAATTAATTTGAACTAAGTTATCAATCCCAATTTTTTTACACCTATTTTTTTAATATTTTTTATTGTTAATTTTAATATTTAATATTTCTCGTGTAACGATTATAAAAAAAATGTAAAATTAAAAGTTTTGCGTTATTTATAATTAGATCATATCTCCATATTTTTTTTCATGCAGAAATGAATGCTAAATACGTAGGAACCCCGGGACTAGAAGCACTGAATAGTGTAGTTGGTATATGCTGTTTTAATTCATACTTTGAACTATATATGGCTGTCAATATCATAATTACTTGTGGACTAATGTACATGTATAGTGGGAGCATATTGTGTATTTATTTAGAGGCAATGGCTAATTGTCCTAGTTCCTAGTCCTAGTCCTAGTCCCATAGCTGGCATCATTACATTTATGTTTGTCAATACCTAATTATGAAGAAAAAACAAATGGAAAACATATCAGTAAGGAAAACCCAAACCCATGTCAACATGGCAGAAAAGTTATTAATTTGCTTTTTGTTTATTATTATTATTATTATTATTATTATTATTATTATTCACAGAATTTGATTCCACTATAAACAATCAAAGATAAGTGATGGCAACGGGTTAGGTTTAAAGGTTGGATTTTTGTTTAATTTGATTGGATCTGAAAAAATAAATACTCGTTTCGAATTCGACTCAATCTAAAAATTTTATATCCTTTATCCTATCTAACCTAACCTCACAAATATATATATCTTCTACATTATTTTGACTTGAACTGAATTTTTAGAATATAAATCTGGCTCGATATAATATAAAACAAGGACTTAATTAAAAATAATAATAAAATTTTTAAATAAATTATACTATCATCTTTGGATCGGGTCGGAGCTTTTCACCCTCCACATGAACCCGACCCGACCCAATTGCACCCCTTAAAAAATCTAACCCGACCTAAATTCAAATTAAAAAAAAACTATCCTATCAGATCGGTCGAAACCTATAAGATTCGGGTTAAATTACCATCTTTAGAAAAGCCTTAGGATTCTGGTATCTGTTCCTATCCAAGACTATTTTAGCGCCCTCTAAGATAAGAAACAATGTTCATGTAGGACCCCATAAAACTGCCTTTGGGACTTTGGTCGGTCCAATTGGGATATTGAATCTCTAACCACGTTGAACAACAGTTTTGAATTTCTGTTGTCAACACCTTTTGTATTATTTACTCTTTTGACCTCTGTTTTGAAAATCGGACCGGACCGACCGGTTCAACCGGAAATTATTATCTAGTACGGTTTAATTTAGACTGATTGAACCGCTACTAATGAACCGGCCAGAACCTCTGAACCGTTCAAACCGGATCGGCTGAAAACAAAAAAAAAACCGCATTTTTTGTTTTTTTTTAAAATTAATCTAAACGACGTCGTTTGTTAAACGAGCCAAGTCAAACTCGAGTATTGCTGAGCTCGACTCGAACTTGAAAAATTTAAAAGTAAACTCAACTCGACTCAAACTCACGAGCTAAAAATTATGAAGTTTAACTCGAACTCGAAATATAATATTGAAACTTGAACTCGAAAAGGCTTGAACTCAAAAAAAATTTAGAAGTTCGATTGAAGCCTAAAATTCGAGCTTGATTTAAGTAAAAGAATAGTTCACTCAATGCTCACCAAAAGGCTCCATGATTTTAAATGCCAAATTACCTCTATTATTTATAGAAGTTAGTTGAGATGATCTTTTATATTTCCTAGCCATGTGAAATTGTTTTTTTTTAAAAATTTAAACCAAACAATATCATTTTGTTATGATTTTTTAGCTCCAATTTTATTTTTTAATTATAGTTATATAATTATATTTATTATTTAATATGTTTTACCTTAAATATTATGTTGTAGTTAATTTGAATCATTTTGTTTTACTTGATTTTATGGTTTTTAACTTATATATGTTATGACTTGCTTTGAATATGAATTGTGATATAAAAAATTATTTGTTATTAAATATTTTTTGTATTTTTATTTAATTTTTTAAATAATTATGACGTCGTCCGGTTCTTTCGACCGGTCGAACCGGTTCAACCGGTTGAATCAATAAACCGATAGCATGACCGATTCGCTAACCGGTCCGATTCTAAAAACCATGCTTTTGACAAATTTCAATATCCTTTCGTGTTATTTACTCTTTTAAGTAAATTGTTAGAATGCATCTGTCTTATTTTCAAAGAGTCCGACTGATTTACGATCTTCAACGTAATCTCCTTCAAATTTCAACTAAGATGTGAATATTTCAAAGTATGGGGACGAAAGCAAATTCATCTGACTTGGTTAATCATGCCCAAATTGGGGGTACACTCACCGTATGAGTACATTCTTTATCCACTCATTTTTTAACCCCCAATGCCTAATTCTTTATTATATGTTAGTCAATTAAAACATTATTGTAAATATATCGCTATTTATTAAATATTTAACATAATAGTGACATTGTCTGATATAACAATAACTGTAGTCATTATTTAAATTTATGCGGTCTATCAATTGGATCATAATTAATGTCAGAGTAATAAATTTAATTCTTCATATATAAAGATTTTATCATTTTAGTCTTTGTTTTTCTCTTATAAATGTTATGCTATTTTCCTAGTATAGTAACAAATTAACGATTACTTATTGCTTTATGACATAATGTGATTATTCAACTATTGCTTTGATAGTATCACAAAAAAGATCAGATAGTTGATAATTTTAAATGAAAGATTAAATTTATTGAATTGTCTTGAATCAGGACAAGATTAATATAATGTATAAGTTTTAGGGACTAAAAATATTATTATACCAATTGAATTAGACATTTGTTTTACTTTTAGTGACAAGATAACTTATTTATAATAATATTTTAATTGAGTGACTTGGTTGTAAAAAATTGTTTGTTACTAAACACATAATCGAATGATCTAGAGTGTATTTTACCCTTTCTTATATGAACCCAAGAAAGAAAAAAAAAATACCATATTAGATATTATTATGATAAACTATTGTACTTTGTGTTCATAGTACATCATAAATACATATGTAAAGAAATAAAAGAGTGAGGCATTGTACCTAAATTTGAATAGCAATAAGTAGGAAGAATAGTTGCTAATTTGTTAATGAAGTTCAATTGACAAATCAGCTCTTCCATAATTAGAGCTGTTTCCTAGAAATTTTAGTAGTAGTTTTTTACAACAACATTCTTAGTACATTATTCATTAATTGTTTTGTCTGACACAACATCTTAAACTGAAACCCCAACCACCTTGTTGGATAAGGGAAGTGTTAAAATAATCCCTTTTGAGCCAATTCTTTAGTTTTTTTGTTGTTGTTAATTTTGGCTGACGTGTGTGTCGTTTTAGTGCAAAACGACCTGTCAACCACTCGATAGAAACCAGCTGCTCTCAAACTCAGGATGGACAGAAAGGATAATAAGGCAGTCATATTTTTAAAGATTTAAAATTATCATATATTTTAAAATTTTTAATATATTTTTATTATAAATATATTATCATTCTTAAAAATTTAAATTCATCACCTAACATAAAATTTTTATGTTGCTATTCACAGTCACACAATTCCGGCACATGTAGGGTACCCCTTCCCTTAAATTGGGGTATGTTAGGCCGATGTCCACACCGACTACATGTGCCTCCTATCAATATCTGCTTATGTTATGACATGCCAAGCTCTTATTTGTTTATCTTTTATCTAAATTAATTATCACTTATCATAAATTATATGCACGATTCATATAATTTATCTGCGGATCTTATATAAATGTAAGATAACCCGTTAAAAAGTAATGACCAAAATAATAATGGATTGAATCTTATTTTTTAACTATACGAAATATTAAATTTTTTAAATAATATAAAATGTTTAAATTTTGATGTTGCAATTGAGCTAAATTGAATTGAGAGAATTATTCATACTATAGTGAATCTATTCTGTCAAGGATGGATTGAGGGAGTGAATTGTCCCATAAAAAATCTTATTATTATATATTTTTATTGAAAATATATTTACTTTCTTTATAATTTTATGAATTTATTCTATTTAAAATTTTACCTTTAACATAAAATTTTACTTTTGTCTATGTGAATTTCGTATATAAACCTATATTAATCAACCAATGAATTGAATATAAATGTACAAAAGCCTATATTAATCAACCAATGAATTGAATATAAATTATTAATAAATGGAATGAAAATATTAGGGTTGAAAGGGTGATCAACTTCAGAAGCCCACTATAGTATTTTCTATCGTAGCCCATGAACATTTTTTTGTCCACTTTAATCCCTGAACATATTTTCCGTAACCCACAGCCCATTCTCACTGTATTGTGTGTTACTCTCAACTCTCGAGGGTGAAACTGAATTAATCAACAGCGGGAGGCTCCCTCCCGTTTGTTTCGAGCTTTAGCTGCCGCACTGCTAATGGTACGTGTTAACAATATATATATATGTATGTATGTATGTATGTATGTATGTATGTATGTATGTATGTATGTATGTATGTATGTATGTATGTATGTATGTATGTATGTATGTATGTATGTATGTATGTATGTATGTATGTATGTATGTATGTATGTATGTATGTATGTATGTATGTATGTATGTATGTATGTACATCTGATTCCTTATGCCCTTCCGTTTCTTTCAGTTCCTATCTAGGGTTTATCACATTTCTTAGCTGTTCATATGAAAGTCTTCCATTGCTTAAATAGCCGGTGGAAAGAATCACACTTTCTCGTATTTTTAGTTATTTTCAATCACGTATATTTTTGGATTATAAATAGAAAAAAATTAGTGTAACATCCCAATAAATCCCCAAATTGAAACCCTAGAATTTGGGGGGAAACTTTTGCAAATCCCAAATTCTGTTTGGTGAATAAATTATAAAATATGTAAACTTTAGTTTAATTTCGTTAACTATAAGAAGATGGATGACTAATATTGTAGTTATACCATTTGTTTCTTAATTCAAATTCCTACCCCAGATTATGTCACTGTGCGGCTCCCTCCTCCATTAGTTTCTTAAAACCCTAGCAGCAAACCCCCACCCTCCATCCTAGCTGCGACGCCGATCGTCTCCAAGGGTAAGCAAGGCCGTCGGTCGTCGTGATAAGGTCTCCAGTGTGGTTCCAAGCTTTTCCGTCGGTGGGGGGAGCTGTCTCGCTCGAACGGCTGCGAGTTTTGTCTCGTGGAAACACCGTCGCCCCGCTATGTGGTGGCGGTTTGTGGGCACCAAGGGGCCGGGTTCTAGTCGGAGAAGACCCAGGTGGCCCGGGTCGAGGCTGAGCGGCTGTACTCGGCCGTGGAACCCCTTTTTCGGTTCTGTTTGTTTCGATAGTGGTTGCCGGCCGTTTTGGGGCATGGCAAGGCAAGCCGCGAGTTCGTCTGTCCGTGGGTTTGTTGCCGGCGATGTCTCGACGCGGCTGACCTTTTTTTATACCGAAACCGTTATGTTCGAACCGAACCCACTGCCGGTGTCACCATTCGGATCTGGAATTATTTTATTTGTTGGTCGAAAATTATTATTTTATTTTTAGATTGGTTTATTGGGGTCTTAATCGATCAATGGTATTTTTACAGGAAATTCTGAACCGGGAACTGAGTTACCGCCTCCACCACCGTTACCCGCTAATTTCAAACCCACTCAAATTGTTCGTGTCGACCGTGAGTGTTAACTGACAGATTTTTTAACATTAATTTCGTAGTTAATTTTAGAATAAGTTAGTTATTTAAGTTAATTGTAGTAGGTACTGATTCGGATCGATCTACAGCTCGAGCCGACTGTGGTAGAGGTTATTACCGTCGTTAGCTATCTGTCGAGGTGTGTCTCTACCTGGTGCTATATCTATTTCGTGTTGAGTGATTGATTGCTTGGAATTGTTTGTGACCATTACGGTTACGTGTATCATTGTTTTAAATATAGTTCGATTAAGCATGTTGCTTGGAAGTTGGTTTCGAGCATGATGGATTATGTGATATTGTTGTATCCAATATAATTCAAAAATATATGTATGTGAAATATATTGATATGGTAGACTGAAAATTTATGATATGCGTTTGGATTATCTGTATACGTAATTATTATATTCGGATCATATCCGAATTCGGTTATCTGACATTCGAATATGTGTGACTTGGATGTGTGTTATTCGGATCGGATTGGATATCGAATAAGTGTGCCATTTGCATGTCATATTGGGACGAATTTTGATAGGGAAAGTTCAGCGCGTTCACTCGATGGGGTGAATGTTGCTTTTCGGATTCCGTGGCCTGTGCTTTTGTGGCGGACCCTACTCTTCGGATATGGTGTGTTTGTAGTTTGAGTGGTTCTAGGGAACCCACTCACTGATGGTGTGTTTGGCGTATAGGTGGGTGCATAATCATCTGTATGACATTTAATGTGATTGTTTTCGTTGGCTTGGATCATGAATATTATTGATTGAATCGGACTATGACTATTATTGATTGAAACGGGTTATGTTATGACTTGTGTTGTTTGTACCTTAGAGGCACACTAAGCTTTATAGCTTACACCCCTATAGTTTCTCTCTCTCAGATACTCGACTTAGGTGAACCGATACTTGGAGATTCATCCTTATTCAGATTACATTATTTTTATATTATGCAATTTTACTCAGATTATCTATTTCTTATTTTGTCATCATTTTATTTGGATAACGCTTAATATGTTTAAATATTTTGGGACATTGGAAATTAATATTTTTGACTTTTGGATTTGAACTCTGAATTTAATAAATATGTGATTTATTTTTTTAATTATTGGTAATTTATTTAAGTTACTTTAAGTATTCAAAATAAGTAAATACAAGGGTAAATTTTAAAGTATTTAAAATAACGAGTAAGTTTTTGGGCATTTAATCAATGACTCTCTAGATTCGACCTAATTTCTTTTAGGTCGGGTTTAGGGGGGTTACAATTAGTACGATGCCATATATAGTTTGGAATATCAGTTATTTAATCGGGAAACTTATATTTGTTTTAATTCTTGAAATTTAGGCACTGCGAAGAAGTTTTACTATCGGATGAACTGCTTGTCTCACGTGCGTGCTTATGGTTTGGCTTTATTTAGAAAGGTTGGTAATTTCATTGTTACTACTTCTTTAAACCAATGCCATTTTCCCTTAGGGGGAAGAAATTTTCAAAACGCCCGTGTTAAGACTGCGGATTTAGAGTTTCTGTTGGCAAGATTCCGCACTCGGTGCTACTCTTCCCGGAGTAGTTATAGTAGCAGTAGTGCTAGGAAAAAAGCATCTAGGACGAAAAAAGTGGACCCTGAGCAACCGCCGATGGAAAACGAGAGAGATGCATTCTTTGTAGTGAGAAAGGGAGATGTTGTTGGTGTTTTCAAGAGCTTTGCCGAATGTCAGGCCCAAGTAGGATCCTCGGTAATTCCTCTAACTTCCCCTTTTTTACCTAATGTCGCCTAAAGTTGATATCTTTTTCATCTGATTGTGTTGCTATACTATGTTATTGCAATATGGATTTTAACGTCCTTATATTATAATGAAGTGAGGTAATGATTGTAATGCAAATAACATAGAAATCCTTCAAAGTTAGATACTGTTTTTCTTCTTTCTGCTCGGCTGTTAACTTTGACGTGTTATTGTTCTATTTCAATTAGGTATGTGATCCTCCGGTCAGTGTTTACAAAGGCTCCTCCTTGACGAAGGAAACTGAGAAATATCTGTCTTCCCGTGGGCTTAAGAATGCTCTCTACACCATTAAAGCTGCAGATGTGAAAGAGGATCTTTTTGGAGCACTTATCCCCTGCCCCTTTCAAGTGAGACCTTAAACATGCTTTACACATACCAAAAAATTTCTGTTTCTTCAAACAAGTCTGTTAAAAAAAAGAAAAGATTTCAACGTTCAATTCCTTTTCCTTTTCCTGCGCCCGCACCCATGTCTGTTTACTTGCGACCGCAATTGCACATAAAACTTGCATCTCTCCAGTCCCTAGTAATGTGGTTTCTTGCAATTTAAGGTTTTCAATAGGCCGTTAATGATCAAACTATTTGTAGTTTGATTAGCTTGTTTCTTTCGCATGCCAACTGTATCACAAAGGCCATTTTATACCATCTGGCTTTTGTAGATTTGAAGGTCAATATTCCTTTTTTTTTGTCTAAGGAACCAGCTTCTTCTAATGTTGAAACATCTCACAATGATGCAACCAAAAAGAGACCACAGTCAGAGTATGGGGTAGGTTCTAATTTTTCCTGAGTACGTCATTAATCATTATTAATGTCACTTTCATGATTAGATTTGACATTATTTCACAGAGTTATACCCTTAACCTTTTGCAGGGACTGGGATCACTTGATTCACCAGCTGTAGCTGATCCTGTGAGAAAGCATGTCAAGTTGGATCCGCATTCTGAAGTTCAAACAGCATCCTCTGGTTATGTAAGTAGATTCCGGTATTAACAGCTGAGTATTCAAGTAAATGGTTGAATATATTTCCTCCAACTGAAGAACATATATATACACATGTAAACCAGAAAACTTTGCCATCTAAGATCTCGCAATTATGTCTTTTATTCACATTATAAGAGGGTTTCCTGAGAGAGAAAAGGGTTTCTGAATTATTTTACCATGATTTTTATGCTCTGAAAGTAGGCTGCGATGCCTGTACTTTACGTCTTGATGGCAGTTGTCTTGTATTCTTGAGTTTGATGGTGCATCAAAAGGAAATCCTGGACCAGCTGGTGCAGGAGCTGTGTTGAAAACTGATACTGGAACCGTGGTATGCAATTCACCATTTGGAATTTGGACCTTTTCTGCACCTACATCTTTCCATAATTTAATGTTTTGAACAGATTTGCAAATTACGAGAGGGTTTGGGCGTAGCAACCTGTAATGCTGCTGAATATCGTGCTGTAATTTTAGGGTTGAAACATGCTCTTAAAAAAGGTTATACACACATTCGTATTCGAGGTGACTCAAAGCTCGTTTGTATGCAGGTAGACTATTTTATCAAATCATTGTTGCTTTGATGTTATTTTGTCGGGGGAGAAAATGTGGATGACAATTCCTGCACTAATTTCAATTCAGGGGACATACCTATTGTAATACCTCTTGCCATGCTAGTAGAATTCTCATTTGAGGGCCGCATTTGTTTATTATATGTTTCGAGTTGTAAGCCTTTAGACGATTGTTTCCTTTGTAGCTTGATTCTGCAGGGAAGAACAATCCTTTCTCTTCTCCCCCAAAGAAAGTTCTAAAATAAGAAGAGAATTGAATCTGTTCAATGGTCTTTCCTGTTAGAAAACACGCCTTATTTCTTTCTTCCTATTCCAATTTTTTCCCCATCAAAATAAGGAAATCTTTCTTCTTTTTTGGCTGGCCTGTCACCTGAGGGAAAATCAAATTGTCTCTGACAAACTTATAGCTCAACTGTTGCTATTCCTGGGCTTTCAATATAGGCCTAAGGGGGCGTTTGGTTGGGGGAATGTGGGATTCTCATAGAAATGGAATCCGCATTCTTCCGTTTGGTTAGCATGGGAATCTCATTCCCGATAATGTAAGATTATCAATAGTGGATTTTTTAGGGTATATTACCGGGAATGTTATTACCTCACTTTCCTTAGGTATTGTTGGATTACCGGCGTTTTGAACTAAAATGCCCTTATTTTTTTTTCAAAAGTCCTTCTATCATTGAATAATAAAAATTATACAAAAGTTAAATTACAAATTTATCCTTAAACTATTTTAGATTTACAAAAAAAATCTATAATTAAAATTTTATTTGAAGTTCAGGGGTTAAAATAAAATTTTACCCTTTCATTAAACATTTTTATATTTTCAATTTTGTAAAAAAAAATATAAATTTTATGAATTTAAATTTTTTAAATAAAATATATAAATAGTTTCCAACTTTTTTAAAAAATAAATATATAATAAGGACAATTTGATCAAATATATATTTTAATAATATTTTATTCCTTTAACCAAATACGGTAATTTTACATTCTTGTTAAACCAACTAAACACAAAATACAACATTCTCAGTAATCTTATTCCCTGGTAATCTTACATTCCTACTGGTAATCTTACATTCTATGAACCAAACACATCCTAATCTTGGTTGACCATAATTATAATAATAAGTTTTCCTTAATCTTAGAGGTATATTGTTTATTTTTTATTTTATTGTATTGAAGTATTATCACTTCTAGTAAAGGAGCTTAGCTTCTGCTTTGTTGTAGTATTCTTATAGCTAGTATTTCCTTTAACAGCTGCAGGGTTTATGGAAAGTCAAACACGAGCACATGTCAGAGTTACATAAGCAAGCAATGAAACTGAAAGATAAGTTTCTTTCATTTCAGATCGATCATGTTTTAAGGGTATGAAAAGTTTTATGCTTGATAGCCAAGTAATCAGCAGAAATTCTTTTTCTTGTGACCACTGTTGCCTCTTTTTTAATACTATCATGATTAGGTGTTTACAATGTTTTTAAAGCTTGGGTCATTGCTTGCATCTACAAATTTTTTGACTTCTATTTAAGTGCTTTTATGGCTTGCATGCTTTGACTATTGTACCAGCATTTGGCTGGAAGCCAGTAAACTAGAAACCGGTGGCTGATTTTTTCGATGCCATTTTAATTTCTGCTAGATAGTGCAGAATAAAGAATGAGACTGTTGTGGTCCCTTGTTCATGATCAAGTCACTGGGTGATTAGCGGGAATGTCGGAAGCGATTGCCTTCCCTTTGTCGTATTCTTGGAACGACCAATGGTGATTGATAACTTAGCTAGTCGAAGGGAGGCTGAAACCTCACGAATTTCTAGGGTTTTGATAAAAGTTCTGCTTAACTTTCTTATTCCACAGGTCTCTTTAAATAGGGATTACGATAATTATAGAAAGAAAGTAAATAAAGTCCTACAAAATATTAAACTTCATAATTAGAGCAAATTGGATTGAGAGGACCGTCCCATCATGGGCCTTTGTAGTATCCGATTTAGATTAGTTGACCAATGAGTTAGATTTTAGTAGTTATAAAAGAAAAAGACTAATTAAATCAAAGAATATAATAGGAGTATCACGTCCCCAACAGAGAACTTTTAAATAATTTGTAGTGTCAAAACATCAATTTTAGATAGTGTTATACTTGCATTCTTTAGAAATAAGGTATTTTGATCTCTCTTCTCTCTTATCACATTGCATGATTTAACCTTTACTTGGTCATCTCTAAAAGGAACTGAATGGGGAGGCTGATGCTGAAGCCAACTTGGCAGTCAAACTTGCTGGTGAGGCTTGGTTTTAACCCCTTTTTGCTATTTTTATCTTAATCAATCAAAGACAGGATGTTTACTAGATATTTCTAACTGATGCAGAAGGTCAAATCCAGGAGGAGTAGCCCAAGTAATTGATTGTGCGTGCTGGAGTATGTGGTTTGTTCTCGAATACATTTATAGAACACAAATGAGTCGAGGATTTTGTCATCCTTTGGCTTATTTTTTTCCCTTGTGTGGGTGCAAACTATTATTTCATTTAAATCCCCAGAAGACCATACGGTTGTTGGCCTTCAAACGCAGCTCTGCGAGGAACAATGCGAATATCGTTTTTGTTATTGTTTTTGGCAGAGACAATGTTAATTGCATATCAATCAAATTCAAACGGCATACATTTAAGGCTTTATTCAACACATTGTTGTGGGGAGGGAGGAAGTTAATTTTTAGAATTCTCTTAGGTATGTAGATTTACTTCTGCCGTAAGATAGAGTATTATTTTGGATCTCTCTTCACTATTCATGGTTTCCGTTTTACCCAAATACAGAGCGATTAGGTTGCAACTGGTATAACATGTTCAGGATTGGTCCTGGCTTCATAGAATATAGGGCACACACTTTAAATTTAAGTGCATGTTTACATTAAATTTATCCAAATTTATGTCATTTTTTATTGATCTAAGGTGCTTATAAGTAGTAATATCTTCTCTAAAGACTCTTAATCATTTGACAATAAAATTTCCAAATACCCTGTAATCTTTAATACTCGAACTTGAGACCTCTAGAAATAACAATAGTTCCTATTTAGAAATTTAAATATGATCTCTGATAGATTTGATAATTTAGGCAGCCAAGATTTTAACTTTAATCAAAGTAAAGCCCATAGATCGGATTGGGCATAAATATGTTATCAAATGTCTACGTATGATAACTTTAGTTTGAGTAGCCGTGTGTGTAGATTGCATGGACGTTGTTAATGTTTAAGAATTATTTTAAATAGAAGAAATATTATAATCGTTCCATCTAAACTACTCACGAAAGTATTTATAAAAATTATACCAATTAACGATTGCAGTACTATGAAAAAGAATTTACATGCAAGTATATTAGTCTCTTGATCAGTCTTCAAATGGTGATTTATTGTTTTATTAAAAAAGGTGCATGAAATATAAGAAAATTGGGATTTTGTAATAATTTCAATTTTTTTTCCAATAAACAATTACTTAATAAGAAGTTATTATATATATATTTTTTTGTAAACTACAGAATTTATATTTATGTAATTGATCGGGCCCTAATTTTGAGCCACAGGCAGAAGCCTGGTTCTACATAAGAAGCCCAAGAATGATTTTCATGATTCTACGTGGTCAGTGTAGCCATCATGATGAGTCTGCATATCCTTGACGAAAAGAAAATCGCTAGATTTGAAGTTAATGACGATTATTTAAAAAAAAATCAAATAATACACTTTAAACTATTAAGTGTTTCATGATTATCATAAATATGATGTTTTTCTTGTTAATATATGCATGCCATGATTTTGGATGGTAAGCATAAAATAATCAAAATGCCCATGATTACATGATAAGAGGAATTGAAGCCTTAGATATTTGAAAATATATAAATTTTAGTTAGATTTTTTTTAAAAAAAAATCAACAAATGGTTGTATATTAAATAAAAAATATGTTAATTTTAGTACAACTTGTCCCTTCTTCAAAGGGTAAAAAATAGATATTATAAAAAAAATTGTTTTAGTTGCAATCCCCGTTTTAATTTGAAGACATGTCATCATCAACATGACCCGAACCAGATTGACCTGTACCAACCGCTCCCATGAGGCTAGCAAAAGCTAAAAACGAATGTAAAAACTCCAAACCATTAATCTCCGCATGTTCCAACCTTCTCCGACCCCCATCACCTTCTTCGGTTTCGACCGTCTTGGCCGGCATCAAGAACCGACAAACCGGGCACGAACCATGGATCTGCAACCACTTCTCAATACAACCCGAATGAAACACGTGCTTGCATGGCATCTCCCTAGCTTCCTCATCAACTTCAAACTCTTCCAAACAAATACTACAATCGCCACCACTCTCTTTCACTTTTATCCTCGGCATTGCTTCTATGGAAGCCTTTGACGCCGGCGCCGGCCCAAGTTTATTGCCAGCGTCCGGTCCACCGTCGCCAAAGTGGAAAACGACGTAAAAGACCGGGCGACGTTGTTGGGTTTCGGCGGGAGCCTCCGCCATGCCAACGTAGGAAAAATCAAAGATTTAATTTTGTTTTTGGCAGAGAAAAAGCCAAAGCAGAAGAGAATTGGTTCGGTTAAATAAGTTACGAAAAGAAAGAGAGGGTTTTTATGGAGGAGATTGAAGAGGCAATTTCTAAAGATTGTGAAGACATCGAATTTCGTCCATTGATATAGTTTTTATAATATATTTTTTATTATTTCAAACTATATTATAGAATATAATATTTATTTGTTTATTCATGGGGTTACATATTACAGGCCCATTACACGAAAATGAAACAGCCCAAGACCCACTGCATGCAAACCATTCTAGCGAGCTAGGGTTTCCAGAACCCTAGCCTCCCAAGCGGCGCCTCGTCCCATGCCCGAATCTCATAGTCGTATGACTCTCACCTCCAACAGTCCGAGTTCTCCGGCGCAAGGAAAGCACATGAGGCCAACACCATCATCAACAAACAACAACGCATTAGAGTTCTATTTTAAATAGGAGTCTAAAAAATAATTAGTTTTTCAGTATAAATAGATCCATTTGTAACACTACGAGGGAGGATTCAGAGGAGAAATACCAGAGAGCTTTAGACACAAAATACTCAAAAATTCGCGAGGCAAATCAGAGCTATTGTAATCGTTTCGAAAGGAAATAAAAAGGTAGCAGTGTCTTTTTACCTTTGTCCATCCGTTTTTTTGCCTTTGCATGTTGATTTCTATGCCTTGTACTGCGTTTTGATTCGAAAGACAACCCAGAAAAAAGAAAAAATGTTTTCAGCCGATGAACAAGGGGAGAGTTTCAAAACTTTGAAGCTAGATCTACTCCATGAGGCTCGTTATTTGTTGGATTTTTTTTCATTTTTGAGAAGCGTGGGTAAAAGGCTTTCGAACTGTAAAAAAAATAAATTTTTTTGCCGCCGAAGAACGGCGGCTGTCGCCGTTCAACGGCGGCGGCGAGGCGGCGCTCGGAGGCCAAAGGCCGGATTCTGGAAAACCTGGTCCATGTTTTTCATGTTTGAAGAACAATGGAGAGAAAAGATTTGAGAGGGGAAGGGGCTTCAGTTTACGAATGAGAGAAATGGGCAAAGTTTGCCAAATCTTTGGCCTTTATATGGCATGTTAACCCGACCCAGATACACGCCAGACCCGCGTGTTTTGCTTAACGATAGGGTAAACCACCATTTCAGTCCCTCCTGTTCCAAGTGAATGTTATCACAATCCCCAAATCCGATTTTTTACCCAATTTTGTTTTGAATCCGACCCTCAATCATGGATTTCTTCCAATTTAATCCTGTTACTTTACTTTTTATTTATTTATTATAATCGTTATTATTTTTAATATTATTACTTTATATATACGTATTTCATATTTTACTTTTTGTTTTGTTTACAAATTATTATACATGTATATATTATTTTTTTATAGATTAATATAACTATTACTATTATCTTCTTTTTACTAATTTATATATATATATATATATATATATATATATATATATATATATATATATATATATTTATTTATTTATTTATTATTATATACGTATATTATTGTTTTCCTTATTGGATTATTTTTGCTTAATGCTATACTTTAATATATATATATATATATATATATATATATATATATATACTGTTAATAGTTTATTTATATGTCTATTATTATTATTAGGTGCACATTTCAATCATTTTTATTCGGTTACTTTTTTTTCACTTCGTTTTTTATTTCTTTGATGGTCATTTTTTATTCACTGTATTTATTCATTCTTTGGTTGTGTATAGATTATTAATATTTCATTTATTTATTTATCTTACTTTGCTTATTAACCTTTTTTCTATTTTTATCTTCATTCTTGTTTCCTTTATTTTTATTTTTATTTTATTTTTTTCTCGTTATTTAACGTCTTTATTTTTAAGGGAACTTCAATCAATCAGTGGTAAGCAATTTGGATCGATATTTTACCTTTTGATTTAACTTTCAATTTTCTTAATTAAAGACAACTGGAAATTACACAGTACCGAAAGGGCAGTTCAAGGGTGCTAGCCCTTCCTTGACTGTAACCGACTCCCGAATCCGACACATCTTTGGTAAGACGCAGATCATGTAAGAAATAAGGTATTCGGTCAACCTATTTAGTTTAAAATAAATGATCGGTGGCGACTCCAATCCATTTACCTAAGTCGAAGCCCAATTCCGGGGCCCAACCGAAAGATGGTTGCGACAGCTTGGCGACTCCGCTGGGGACACATGTAAGTGAGTCAGGCTAAGGTAATTTCCAGTTGTCTTTTTAACGAAAAGGGTAAGTTTGAATTTTAAGGTAATTTTTTGATCCTTATTACTTACTTTTGATTATATTTTCGAGTAAATAGTTGGACTAATCGTTTTCTCATGATTTCAGCCTTCAAAGATTTTTCATCTAAGGCTCTAAACCCGAGCTCCAAACCCGATTTAAGTGGGGGTGAAAGCGACGCCTTCGTGTGAATTTATTCACCGTATGGGCCTAGCAAGTAGCCTTCGGGATTCATATACCTTATGCCTTCGTGTGAATTTATTCTCCGTATGGGCATAAGGGAATGTGTCCTCTCGAGTTTAACTTAGTCCACACAAGCCTGTGATGGGTTTAGGACTAAGGGTATGGTCGGCCTAAGAGGGTGCCAGCAAGGAGAACTCGGGTACCGTTTTTTAGAACCTAAACCGGGAGACTTTGAATAAATAGAGCCTACCCCAAAACCACATTCCAAAACCTAGGACATTTCTTTCCTAACCTTTTTTTTCCTTATGTTTTTTCCTTTACCATTTATTTTTTTATTTATTTTTATTGATTTCCATTTTACTAACTTTTTTTGCCTCTGTGTTTGTTTTTAGCATTTGCATCATAACAAGAGGCCATTGATCCCTAAAAAGGTGTTTATTAAAACTCAAATAATCTGAATCCATGGACAAAGGTGTTGTAATTCAAGAGATTGAAAACGCTGAGGCACGACTATGGTCCGAGAAGGCTCAAAGTGAAAAGGGAGACAATCTTCAAGGAAGCTATGTGTCAGAGTTGGTTCGCTACACCCCTATCAGCCTAAAACAGAACAATGTACAAGAACTTTGAGATATCTGGGACAGTTGGAAGAATGATCGGAGACAGAAGTTCAGCCAACGGTACGGTGACATTGCA